CACACACACACTGACTCTCACTCTCTCTCACACTCACTCACACACACACTGACTCTCACTCTCTCTCACACTCACTCACACACACACTGACTCTCACTCTCTCTCACACTCACTCACACACACACTGACTCTCACTCTCTCTCACACTCACTCACACACACACTGACTCTCACTCTCTCTCACACTCACTCACACACACACTGACTCTCACTCTCTCTCACACTCACTCACACACACACTGGCTCTCACTCTCTCTCTCACACTCACTCACTCTCACACACACTCACACTCTCTCAAAATCAAAATCATGACCTATGACTGCAGCAAATGAAGTGTCATCACTGCTGCACTGTTATAAAGATCTCATTGATTTACATCACAAGCATCTGAATTTCATCATAAATATCAGCATCTGCAGCAAATTCATAATTTTGTTCAGTTTGAGAATAAAATTGAGCTGCATATTCTCACTATATCAGAGCCACAAAAGCCTGATGGAGTACATTATTCCAATCACATACACACTTTTTTTTTCTAGATTTTTATATTCTGTCTTTTAAGGTTTATGTTCAATAAATGATTCCATTTTGAGGGAAAAATAGATTCAGAATATTATTTCATATGTCAGGCTTTACAGGGTTAATAGAATATTGAAATGAACAAAAACTAATTAATTTATCGGTGTTAGTTTTACCCTGCTAGTCAATCTATAATTTATTACTTATTTTATTTTATTTTTTGCTTAAACAGTATTCATTAGTTTTGAATTTTAGTAATAATGTTAGTAATAACATACACATTTACTGTAAAATCCTGAACAATCAACTTTTTAAAATTACTAAACTTAAATTACTTTATATATATATATATATATATATATATATATATATATATATATACACACACACACACACATTTATATATGTATATTCACTGTAAGATAAAAAATATTTCACTTTACATTACAACTGTAAAATTACAATACTAACATTTGTGTACATTCCATTTTTTTATTTTTTTTATTCAAATGGCAGCCTTTGCAGTTTGATACATCAGAATTTGAGTTTCATTTTCATTAATCGTTTTTATTTTACGTGAATCCAAGCAATAAGCGTGTTACCTTCTCCAGCTGGGGTCGGGGGGCGGAGACAGATACACTGAGCTGCTGTGAGAGCTGTCCATCTCAGGTCAGAGGTCAAGGACACCGACAGCATCAGCATGATAGCTCCAGACAGACAACAAATGGTAAAGGTATAGACTATATAGGCTTAGGCTATAATTCGTCATTTCATTCGTTTCTACGTTCGACTTACATTTGTGGGCACTGTCTACGTTTTAAATTTAATGGGATGTCCAAAATATACTGCGGTGAACAAACACTTGTGTAAAAAACAAAAGCATAATCACTATTATAACCTGTAGATGGCAGCAGAGGAGCACTTATTGGCTTATTAGACATTCATTTATACTTTTTCCTTTATGTTTTGAAATTATAAAATCACAATTACAAAATATCAAATCACCCAGAAATCAGAGTTTTGCTTTTTTTTTTTTTTTTTGCATAAAGTAAGAAAAGTCACAAAGTGCTTTGTGCTCATAATCACTGAAGTTGTTGGTCAGTTCCAGAAGAATAATGGTACATTTAATAAGAGCACAATATATACCTCTTCTACATAAATTAGATTTTTAATAAAATACATTTTGTTAGCTTCCCAAACTCAAGCTTAGTGCTTGAGCTTAGGGGCTATTTCGAAGTAGCATTCAATAAATTAAATTAACAAATATAAAAATAAAACGCTAAATACATCAATTATGCATTGATTCTTAAAGCAACTGTATTAAACTTCTTGTGTTTTGTTTTATTAACATTAAAAGGGATAGTTTACCCACAAATTAATTCATTTACGCACTCTCAAAGTTGTTTTTTTTAAACCTGAATGACTTTCTTTCTTCTGTTGAACATGAATGTTATTTTGAAACAGTTGCTGGTCCCCAGTGACTTCCATAGTAACTTTTTGTCCTACTATCAAAGTCAATGTGGACCAGCTACTGATTGGTTACCCACATTAAATATCCTCTTTTGTGGACAATTTAATACAGAAATTAATACAGGTTTGGGACAACGTGTGAGTGAGTAAATAATAACAGAAATGTAATTTTTGTGTGAACTATCCCTTTAATGACAGTCGGCAGCATGTTTAGTACTGTCCCTTTAAGAGCTGCATGCATCTAATATACAGACACATATGCGTTTTTCTTTCAACTGTTGACAATCAACTGAGTCTGTATGTAAACCTTGTGTGTTTTGACAGTATTAGCGCGGAAGATAACTTAATCCAGTAATCAGGTGCTGTTTTAGTGTGTGTGTGCGCGCTACAGCTGTAGACGCACAGAGAAAGCGCACGTCAGCACGTGAATGGAGAATGAAACGTTTAACCGGCAAGGCTTTAAAGCAGATGCAAATAATGCACTTTTGTGATTGCGAATAAGTGCCGTGTCCTGTGAGAGTAACTCTATCACTGAGTTAACACTGAAGTGAATGTATCAATGAGAATGTGCGCTGTAGCACACAATACTACGATATTTCTTTAAAAGCAGATCGTGGAGACATTTTTATCGTCCACGGTCAAAAATCGTCATATCGCACACCCCTACTATGAGTTAAGTCTATTTATTATTAAAGCATTTGTCAGTAATAGTTAAAATGGGGAAAATATGAGAACGATTGCATTGCAGGCAGATTTAAGGTGTGCCCCTGAATTTTCTGCTTGTGCTCCTAAAAATGTTCAGTCAGGGGCTACAGTGCTCCTAGTAATAACAGTTAGTCTGGAGCCCTGAGACACACACAAACCTGCAGGAGAGACTGAGACGGGAAGGATACTTGTCTCCTGTAGGGTCTGCTGGGAGAGACGAAGCGCCGGTCTCTGTGAACCCGCTCCACCAGACCATGATGCCGTGTGGAGCGACTGGAGTCCAGCGGAGAGTGAAACGAGCCCTGAGACACACACACACGGGTTTACATGAGCTGCTTTCAATCTAATGACACACACACTCTCTCTCTCACACACACTCACACACACACACACACACACTCTCTCTCTCTCTCTCACACACACACACACCCACACACACACTAACATCATCCGAGCACAGTCTCACCTACAGAACAGAGAAACATCTGTGATAAACCTAAACCTAACTATTAACAAACACTATGAAAAGCACAAAACGAAACCTGACACTTCAGTGCGTTTCCCAAACTCGTAACGTTACAGAAACACACGATCACCTAGCGTTAGACCACTCTACAATCTTGTAGAATCCTGTAGAAGTGTTTGAATTACTGTGGTTTGGTTTCTTTAACGCTCGTAAACCGCTCAGGGACAAGTCTTTCTGTTCAAAGAAAACACGCAGCTCACACAAACTCTGTTCTTTTGTTCTTCTACACCATTTCATTGAGTCTTACTAGACGTACAAGTCCTGCTCTTCTTCCTCATGCGTGTCTGTATTCTGGAAGTCTCTGTAAACGATGCTCTTAGGGCCAGTCCTGTCAGCGCACGCGCAGAAGAGCGACAGTCTTCATCATCTCTATCTACATCTATAATCATTATCTATAGATCAGTGGTAGCAAGACTGAACGTTCCTAAAGATAAAATGTGTTTCTTTTCACCAAGTCAGAATATAAGCATGCTTTAATATATATATAGTGACGTGACGCACCGCGCGCACAGTATTGACAAGAAAGGAAAAAGGTTTTTTCTGAGTTGTGAAACTTTGTATCTCGTAAGAAGTTATGCAAGTGAGATAATGACAGACTGGCTCCACCATCTCATCTGCCGCAGATACTGTATCAGGAGAATCAGTCTTACCATTTATGATCAATAAATAGGTTGATACAATGTATAAAACAAAGTTCTTGAACTCTGGAAAGATGCTAAAACCCTTTTTAATATGATTGTTATCATGTATAGAGAGTTGCCATGGCAACATCATCATCAGCTGCTGGAGAGGAGGACCACAGATTGGTTAAGTAACGTATGCTAATATTACCCACAGTCTACTTTAAGTACTTTTCTTCATATGTATACCTCTGTTTCTGGCATCTTTAGAAGCATAACTATAGCATAATAGATTTGAGCTCTTATTAATGAAGGTTTGGGCTTTTAATCACATCTTATGTTTAAAGGAGCGGGTTTGATAGCTTTGTGTTTTGCTGATAATGTGTCAACAGATAAATGGAAGTAAGCTAATTAATGTAACCTAAAAGCCTGCACTGTAGAGTCTGTCTGTCGGTGACGTCCCTTACATGCGGCTAAACTGGGCTGAAACTGTTTCAAACACGTTTTCATTTTTCATTGTAAACAAATATTGATAAAAGCTGTCCTGTGATTTCAGGAGCGTCTACAAGCCCTCTACAACAGAGGGGAAGTTACAAGAACAGTTCTAATGGGAGCTGCTGACGGAGAGATAGAAAACACAGCTGATCCGGGAAAGCTTATTAAATAACTTCATATTTCTTTTTGAATATATATATCATCATGCGTTTGTAAAATCTAAAAATGTGAATTCTGGTATCTTAAGATTTTTTTGTATGTTTTCCATATTTGTCTTTCCTGCATTTCAGCTATGCTCTAGTTTGTTTATTTCTAAAAAGGAGTTGTCAAAAATGCGTCACTTCCTGTGTGGAGAAGCGGATCCGGGACCTGGTGGAGAAGCAGACCCAGCTGAGAGCGCGGAGAGCCGCGCTGGAAACATCGGCATAGAGGAGAAACAATAATGTTCTGGCAGGGGTGCAGAATTCGGCACAACACTTCAGGAGCCTGATTGAGACGGTGCACTGCTATAAAAATTAACCAACTGTATTTACGTGAGATACTCTACACCAGGGGTCCCCAAACTTTTTTCTACAAGGGCCACATAATTTTCCCTTTCTTTAAATGGGGGGCCGGGTCAGTTTGTAACAGAAAATTACATGGGCCGGAGTGACTACTAGTATTATTGTGGAGATTTTATTATGATTTTAAATGTATTTATTATGCCTCCTAATGCTAGAATTGTTTATTTTGTTATGCACCGTACAGACAAATGATTACTTTTCAAGAGACATATAGCCTATTAAAAGAGCATTGTTATTACTATCATAATTACATTTTTTCATATTCAGTGCTATTCAAAATCAAAACATTTACTTATGCATATTAATTAGTGTGAACTGTGGGCTTGCTTCTGGCTAGTAAGAAGTCCAATGTCAGGTTCCATTCCTGTTACAGCCAGTCTCAAAGACTGATGCAAATGTTCATCGGTGAGTCTTGATCTCATTGGAGTTTTCATCAGTTTCATGCATGAAAAGGTTTGCTCACAAATATACGTGCTGCCAAAAAGTGTGGACATCTTCATTGCATGCCTTTTGATGTTTGAGTATGTCTCGTTAGGGAGGGCAGCATAGAATTCAATGAGACCGATGGGCTTAAATATGTCTTTCAGAACATCACAGTTCTGTAACTCGGCCAACTCAAACTGATAAGAAGGCAGGGCTTCATCAATGTCGGCAGCAAAG